AGCCCAGGAAGGGTAGGAACTTGGAAAAAATGGAAAAAGCTCACGCACCCTGGAGTCTCCTCCCCCTTAACCTTACGAACTGCCTCAATCTTTGACGCGTCTCACTTTGTAGATCACATCGCATTCTCCTTGCCCTAACCTCGAGCTCGCTGGATAACGCCCGCATGCTCTTCCTGCCTGCCTAGAGAAAAAGTCTGTGAAGCATAGGTTAGGGCAAGGAGAATGCGATGTGAACTACAAAGTGAGCGTCAAGATTGAGGCAGTTCGTAAGGTTAAGGGGGAGGAGACTCCAGGGTGCGTGAGCTTTTTCCATTTTTTCCAAGTTCCTACCCTTCCTGGGCTCAGTTCTAGGGGATGTCCCCGTATGTTCCCGCAGTTCTAGAGAATGTCCTCCTATGTCCGCGGCGTACTAAAAGAAATCTATATTTCATTGAAGAACGCTTATCGCTTTTTATACTACAATTTCTTCTCTCCTGCTTAATCGCCGAGGTACCCTTCGTTAGCGACGTCTGCAGTGCAGACTTCACATAATAAGTAACGACAGATTCCTCAATGGGTATTTCCTCAATTTTCAGCCAGTGAAATGAAGCTGATTGCAGTTGTATTCTGGTGATTGTCACTAAGTACAGTTATCATTTATGAGCTACCAACTGTCACTCTAATATACTCAATATCATTTTTGAGGGCGTCGTCAATTGCGTTGTAAAGTCTGTAGTGCAGACACACTTTGCTTTTTTTCAAACCGCAAATCATCAGCGCAACTTGTTCAACAGTCAGCATTTCATGTTTAATTGAAGCAATTTGAGCTCAAACTATGCCTTTCACTAAAACAAAGGTAAACAGAATAGGTGAAAGCAACTAAAAACAAAACTACAGAAAAGAGAAATGCTAAAAGTAGCTACTAGCTAGTAAAAAGAACTGAACAAAAGATAGAGGCTGGTTTGGATGCTGTTTTTGTCGGGTACGGTGCTTCCGAAAGGCTAAACTGGCTATGAGAACGAGTAGGGGAGATGTTGATAGATCATCATGCGATAGAAGTCAACTCAGGCCATTTACCAACATGAGCAGTTGGATCGAAGTCTTCCGGGTCCAATTCGAGTGGTGAGTCCCACCGTACTGTATCAGGAGGTAGAGGATCATCCCTGTAAGAAAGCTCAGTCACAGTGACTTGGATCAGCTTCGATTAAGCGCTGGCTCCAGAGTCAACCCTGCGTTGCGCAGTTTTCAACGGCCACGTTGCGCAGTTTCGCCCGATTAGACACGTTCTCTCGCGCGAACATTCACACTCGCATGCTCGAGCCGTCTGTGTCTCCGCCCATACAGCGTGCGTTGAGGATCTCTCAACGTGCCGTTGCGAACTGCGCAACGCAGGGTTGACTCTGGCTGGCTCTCCTCCTTGCCCACTTATGTCAGAAGATTTGTAGAACTCACTTAGCGATGGTTGTGGTTCCTGGGGTACGGACGTTGACGGGAAGGCGTTCTCCGTTCGGTGACAGTACGCTGAATGGTTTCGCGTTCGACGGCAGTTCTGTAATTGAGGGTAGTATAAAGGCGGCTCAGGGACAGCGATTTTTTCAGAGTCAAATGATGTAAAATGCCAGCAGAACCGGGACGATGGGCTTACCTACGGAGGTTGTAGTCTGGGTAAGCCGACTAAAATGCCTAATGATTGCCGTTTGCTAGGTTATAGAGGTGCTGACCAAGTGACAGCGAACAAATTCTGAGTGCTTTGTGCTCCGCGTTTTCTGTTCCCTAATTTGAAAATGGTCTGAATTCATGGGCCATGTTAGTTCCATATCTGGTAACTTTCGATCCAATCTTGACACGTAAGACAACTTCGGCTCCAGAACAATCCTCCTCGGTACCAAACACCAGTAAGGCATTTGCAGAATAGATCAAACAGCATAGTCACTTGTCCGTGTCAAATGGGTAGCGGCCAAAGGTGGTTGGGCTCCCAGGCCGAGCTCATCCATGCTCTGCGGATCATAAAAAATCTCAATGGCTCCCCAAAACCCAACGAAACGAGCCCACAACTCGGGTGCACATCAGGTATGTGCCAAAAATACACACTGCGTGCTACGCGCGACAAAATCCGCGACAATCAACATTGGACCTTCAGACCACGTCAACTTTCTAGTCACCTACTGTCAAGGATTCTGTCAAGATTAGTGATCGCAGGCGACTAGAAAGTTAACGTGGTCTGAAGGTTGATTGTCGCGAAGTTGTCGCCCTCGTCGCGCGGTGTGTATTTTTGACACATACCTCATGAGCATGTATAAGCCGAGCGGATCATGAGAAGGGAAATGGACTAACTTTGAGTTGACCTATAGAATAACACTTCTCAATACTTACCGACTTTCTTGCCCTTTTCTGCCTTCGAATAGATGAATTGAGAGGCGTAGTGATAGCGTTCATATTTGGGACATTGCGCGTACCACAGCCTGATGGAAAGGTGTAACCAATGTTCACGAAACTTGGTCAAATAGATAGAGCTTTTAAGACTACCTGCAAGTTTGTAGGAACAACGGCAGAGGTGGAGGATTGCAGAACTTTTGCACATACGGATAAGACCAGTCGCATTTGCAGGCCGCGGTACAATGTGGGTGGATTCGATGATCACAATCGGGAGTACAGGGTTTCCTAGAGAAAAGGAAAATCATTTTAGTGTTCAGCTTGCTTCAAACAAGGTCGTGTAAACCAAACCAACTTGTACTTCTTCTTCTTTTGAACTCTTTTACGACCTCTGCCTCGTTTCCCCTTCTGAAATAAAGAGCATTTGTTAGGAATAGTCATTAGAGCTACTAATGGGCACAGTGAATTTTTCTGCGGTACTGTTTGGTCAACCGTCGGCTGAAAAAGTCCCATGAGAGAGATGGTCCCCGTGGCTTTTCGAGCTGAAGATACCGCCTAGAACTAACAATAAGAGGGACGTTGTTGAAATAGTTGGCACCCAAAACGTCCCTAACCCAATCAGAGTGAACGCGCGGAGAGCACAGACGGCTCGCTTGTGGCGAGAGTGAATGTCTGCGCGAAAGAGCATGACTGAACGGACAAAAATCCTCGATGAGTCGCCGACGAGTCCTCGACCGATTTTCACCCTGAACCCAATGGCCAACTCTGCTGGTAACCTCCGAAGGTGTCCAGGGTTCCTTGCCTACTGAACGGAAGAAGAAGGATAGATGAGTCCCACATAACGCTGCGCAATTTTGCCGCACACCGCACGGCATAGAGGTTGCGCTGAAATTGGTTGCCAGGAAATTGCCGCACCTTGTCGCGTTATGTCGCGCGCGACAAGTAGCGAGACTTACTTTCTGTGCCTGCAAACAAAAAGGATAGTCAAAAGATGTGCTTCCGGTACAGGCGGTCCCGCCAACATGCATGGCGCAATCTCTGCCTATATAGTGCGGAGTTATAGCATCACACAAGGAGCAGTACCAGGAGATTTAATACCATTATCAGAACCTTTGAGCACTCAGAGCATGGCGCGATCCGGGTTCAGTCGAGGTTCAAATTTTGCGCCACTCAATGAGCGAGGGAGCTTGTGCCTATTCGGCGCAATTCCAGCTTGTGGAAATGAAATGATAGCGGCGAAATTGAATACGATTCAAGCGCTGCAAATTCAGTTGAACACTAGTGCTGTCCCCATTTTCCCCGGGCGCAAAAAAATCTGGGACTGCTATGAGAGCGCGACGTACGCGGCGGTGACTACAATCCGAAAGCCAGAATATTTATGTTTTGCTTGAATTCCGTCTAAAACGATGGCAAACTTGTCAGGAACCTTATTCCATACATCAGCAGCCGGTTATTTATTCGATTACACACAGAAATTGTATTTTCACAGTAAAATTATATTTCTACAATAATTCAATAAAACAAACCCCTGGATTGTCTAGATCCGGAAAGTTACTGTCGACAATGTTGCTGGGATTCGCGGTTCACGGTGGCAACTTGTTTTTCTGGGAACGATTGCGTTGGCTGAAAACAAACTCAGCATCTGACAAGTATTAACTGAAAACTAGCCAGTACCAGATCGCTGGCAATGATTTGTGCCTACATCGGTAGCAGCTTGGAAACAATAAATAAACGCTCTGCTTAGCGATTATATGCTGAGTTACTATGCCTCATTGGGTTAACATGATGTCGAGGTTGTTGAGATAAAAGCGGCCACGAATTAACTATAGAGATGACTTTTTTTGGCCGATCATTGAAGAAATGGTCGCGATTCGAATTTGGATTTGGAGTGGGCAGCGAGTTTCAGCGGGTCAAGCGAAGCTCTCTCTTATTCTGCACTTTAAAGTTGTAACGGTATCGCCACCCTTCTGGCTGGGGTTCCTGCTATCTCATTCAAGAAAAGCGAACTACGATCCTATTTGCGACCCGACTTTAAGCCCCCGTCGGATGGTTATGGCTCATTTTTGTCGGCCAAGACTCAGGGAAAAAGAGCGGTGCAAAAAAATCGACGTACCTTTGAGGACGATCCCGGCAACTTTTCTTGTACGACGGACAGAACTGTGCAGTGATCTGTGGATTATCACTGTCTCCTGTGCAATAGTACTCATAGTTCACGGCGAACTTCTCACAGTACTCTTCCCGAGTGCCTTTGAAGCGGTAGACACCGGTACCAGCGCCTGGTTTGTCGCCGCCGCCACTTTCATCGTCCTGTTTCTCCACCCTGAAAAAGGGCCATTCCTTCCATCTCATCAGTTTTTGAGTTCACTCTGACTATACTATGCTGCTAACCAATAAGCCCAATATTCCCATATCGTTTTGTTGCGTCACTTCCAGAGTTGGTGGTTTTTTTTTCGCTCGATCAATACGCATGATCTGCGCAGAACGTCACTGTAGTCACGTTAACGTGACTCACTAACTCTATAAGTAACCCAACGAACACGACTCTTACCATCCACAATACTGACAGGAGACAAAAGAGTAATTGCTACAGTAACCAATGTCGATAGATTCCTATAACCAAATATATAGCTAACTTTGTATTCGTTGAAAAAAGAACAAAAAAAACTGAACGAAGTGGCACAAGGGCGTGTACGTCATCATTTGGTTTAGTTTAGAAAGGAATTTTTTCTCAAATGTTTTCCCTACTTCAGTGCCATGTTGGAAAAAAATCTGGCCCGAACTGCATTTTCATCCCGATTGGGTGGCACCCTTTCTGAGTGAGCGAGCAGAGCAGGGATTATTGACTAGGTTTCGAAAGCCGTAGTGAATTGGTCCATTTGATGTTATTATGCTGTAGCACCAAAGTCGTATTTTAAAAAGAATAGTATCTTTTCAGAAAATTTAGAGTAGAAAGGCGGATGTTCGCATAGAGTGCAACTGCCGTTACTACTTACGCACACTGATCCGAGGATACAAATCCTGGCTTGATACGGCGACCAGACCAATCATACCATCGCTCGTGACAGACGAAAAACGCTGAATTGTACATCGGGTGACCCCGCAAGTCATGGTATGTGAAAAAATCACATTGAAAAAAACGCTACGATTCTGAATGGAGGTAGAGTGCGTGGCGCTTCTCAAGAAGGAATTGATGGGCGCCAATGCTTTATCTTATTCTACCTTTACGTGGGAAGAAATATTGGATGGGTGAATAAAAGGATGAGGATAAGCATTTGCCGTTGATCAATCCCGTTTTGGGATGCGGCACGCATTCTACTTCCATTTGTACATTCGCAGTGGCTTTTGAATGCGATGTGGCCTATACAATGACTTGCGGGGGCCAGCCGATGTACAAGTCAGTGTTTTTATCCTCCCAGACAAGTCTGGTACCAATTAACCGACCCCGGAGGGATGGAAGGCTTGGTTGGCCCGGGCGACTCAGGATTTGATCCCCGGACCGCTCGCGTGGTAAGCGTGCCACTTGCCACTACACCACTTCCGCCCAATCCGGTAAATATTCTTGCGAAATTTGCAGAAATCTTCCACAATTTTGGGCCACGTTCACCGGAGAAAATCCACCTTTACATCGATGATTTTCTTTGGAGTTCTGAAGAGATGGCTGGAGAGGCGGGGGGGGTATGGGCGGAGTGATGGCGAGAGTAAGTGCGGGGATGGAATATCTGAAAAATACCTCAAGCACGCCGAGCTCACATAGTACTCCAGGTGGGGGAGCAGTGGTTTGTTGATTTGTGCTGCGCCGTGGTTTCCAGAGTCAGCGATTATTCGTGGGAGAGGGTTGAGGGGGAGAAGCATTTCTATGTTTCTCCAATGAATCCCAATGGAATCTATGTGGGAACGAAGGTACAACTCAAGGAAAAATATAGAACATAGCGAATGAACCAACATAAACGCCTCCATTCACAATGGGCTTCCTAATATCGGAGTTCGATGTCATAAGAAATCTTCATGCAGCACACGTTGCAAAAACGCATGATCAGGTTGCGTGGTAAATCTCCTGAATCCAAAGCTCATCCAGTCGGTATGATGATTCTCCACACGCTATTCTTCGTATAATGTATGCTATACGAAGTTATTACGAGTTCCTGCGAGAGAAACTGTTTCAATTTGTGATTCTCTCGGGGAGCAGGTGTTGAATGGTTCAAAATGTGATATGAACTGTCACAACTTTGATTTAAAATAATTATTCAAATACACAGGAACGGCCATAAGGGCAGGGAACATCGACGTCATCGTTCACTTAAGACTAGGGATACGTAGCGCGACGAAAGCAAATGGAATTTTGTGTAATGTGGACAGTAATGAAGCAGGAAAAAGGATACAAAGGTGCTCACAAAAAGCGTATGTTGGTGACTAAATGATAACATGAAAGACATTTTCGGTCTAAGCAAGTGTTCTGTTGGTTTGAAAAAGGATGAAACATGAACATCAACAGATCAGCTCCTTTTTATGACGCGCCATGCACATGGCTTTATTCCGAAACATCATGACATTTGAATGGTAGCTGGCCTGCAAATATGGTACAATGACTTGTGGGCTAGCTTTCTTTTTTGAGCAACAACCCCAGATGACGTCCTGTCAAACAGCCGATTACAGTGTTTGTTCTGTTGGTGGGATAGAGTAGCCGATTACAATTGCGCCCTTGTCACCCTCAAAGTATGGAACAATGGCGCTTGCAAAGTGAGCTGATGACGGCTAATGTGAGCTAATGGACGAGATACCTCGCACCCCCCCCCCATGGTATGCAAAGTAGTTAGTAGAACCATGGAGCGGGTTAGTGGAGCCTTGGAGCAAGCGAATTCGAACAACTCGTCCATACACGCGCTTCCCTCATTCCAAGGGGCAAGAGAGGAAGTACCTGTAAAGGGTTTCATTGAGGGTGCTAAAGGGGTTCGAGAAGGTAGAACATAATATTGCAGCGGAACATGCGATTTCAAGCCCTCCCAAACCTTGCCGATGATTTGTTGTTGAATCCATGATTTAATGAAATAAAATTCATCCAATAAAATCGCACCTAAGCAGGCGTATAGAAGCATCATCAAAAGACATTGTATGGACCCATATGCATTCAAGTGGGACTGGGTTTCTGAATGGAAGCAGAGTACGTGGCGCATCCGAAAAGGAGGCTAATCAACACCGAGTGCTCTTTCTTTGTAGGATTGTAGTGAGAAATGAAGCGAGAAGGGA